TCATCCTAACGCTTCATTTCAGGCCACACGCCTTCATCGCAGTGGATTTATACAAGAGGGTGATATGGTTCGTCTTAATGCTTTTCAACGTGGTCAAGAGATCCCTGAGTCTATTGCATCATACTGTCTAAATACAGATAGTCTGTTATTAGCAGCGCATTATCGAATCATCATCAGTACCTGCAGTACATCTGGTCAGCTGTTTTCTCTTGGACTTCGAGCTGGTCACTTTACTCACGTGTTTATTGATGAAGCGGGCCAAGCAACCGAGCCTGAATGTTTGGTACCCATGGGGCTTGCAGCTGGAGGGGAGGGACAGGTATTGTGTTTTTGCAGATTGCATACAATGGATGTTTATAGCTATTTTCCCAAGGTCGTTTGAGAGTTGCATGACCAAAAGGCATTGTGGGTGTTTGATACTTATTGCCATTTGATCAGCTGATTAAAAACACGGACAAGCCAAAGAAACCACCATCGAACTTCATTTAGCAGAAACACCAGTCGTTTCTCTTGCTCGTTTTACGGGTCGCGGTGCATCAAGGGATGCATCTACTTCCCTTGATCCTTTGCGCGCACCAGAGAAGAAAGAAGAGCAACGACTGGGTACGAGTCTGTAGCAGAAGCAACAGTATTGACTATCTTTGATTGGGGTGACCTACGTAGCACGCAGTTGATGTAATGTATTCATAAAATGTATTGTATTCCATTGTTTCTCGTTCTATTGTATTATGTGTTTTGTTTTGTATTATATCTTTATGAATATATTACATCAACTGAGTGCTACGTAGATTCACCAAATCTTTGATTGTGAATCTTGGCATCGATAGAAAATTCTCATAGTAACTTTCTGCCGTGCATTCTCCAATCACCATGACAATCCTTTTTGAATTAGCTATATATGTATCTAGGATTATTTCCTTATATGATTCTCTGTATTTGACTAGTTCTCTGTATTTGACTAGTTCTCTGTATTTGACTAGTTCTCTGCATTTGACTAGATAATTCTGGCTGGTGATCCCCACCAGCTTGGCCCAGTCCTCCGCTCGTCTGTCGCAATAGATTATGGTCTCAATATGTCACTTCTAGAACGACTCATGTCCAGACCCCTCTATGCCCGTGATGAGTCTCGGTTCGTTGATCATGGTTGCTATGATCCTCTATTGGTTACCAAGCTCGTGAACAACTATCGTTCTCACCCCTCCCTACTGTATCTTCCTTCTGCCTTGTTCTATCATGGTGAACTTAGGGTATTTGCCGATCAAAAGATGCGAGAGAGTTTGAGTAACTTTGAGATGTTACCAAAGAATGGTGTACCTTTAGTATTTCATGGMATTCAGGTAAAATTTAATACGCAAATAATAGTTTTAAAATTTGAAATGATAGTTGTAGTTTTGTTTTTCAGTTTTTCATACTTCAGTTTGCGCTGGTCGTTTAGCTGTTCGGAGCGTCATCGACTACGTTTTTTTCTCCTCTAAAACACTGACATCCGGTTAGATCTGTTGGACGAGCACCAGACCATTGTGAGAGAGTTCAGGGTTCTAACCAATGCGGAGCACAACTCAATGTCTTATAACAATACTCCAGTTTCGAATTCTCTTCTGTGCAAGCTTAGCTTCAATCAAGCATGAATTTTTATTGTCCTCTTCGTACGCTGAGAGAGTGTTTGTATAATCCAGTTTCGAATTCTCCAATGCTCTGTGTTAGCCTCAGTTGTGCGCAAAATATTCCTTATTGTGAGCGTAAAAGTGTGAGATTTTAAATCAAATTTATTGTCTTTCTTCACACAATTCCATGCGTTTTCTCGATCTATCAATAAAACAAAAGAATATGTTACTTGGTTTTGAGGCTAACACAGAGCAAACCAGAACTCGAAATTGGAGTATTACAATAGGATCTCTGCTGAATAAAAGAATATATTACATGCTTTCGAGGTTAAGGCTGCACAAATAAGATCTCGAAACTGGAGTATTAAGCAGATATTGCTGCTTTTCTTTCTCCACCTGAAAATATATCACCACGTCTTCTATAAGGGCGTGAAACCGGAGGTCCCGTTCCCCCAGACCTCCCGTCCCCTGGGGGAGAGAACCACTGAAGACGTGTTCAAAACTCTTAACATGACCACCCTTATTTCTTGGTCTTATATCTCTGTTTTGGGTCAACAGTGATAGGCTCTGCAAGTACCCAGCAAAGGCAAATGTTAAGAATATATAAAATGTTTTCAACAGTAAAACCTGTTTTGTAGGGTGATGACCTTCGTGAAGGGAATAGTCCATCGTGGTTTAATCCAGCTGAAGCAGTACAAGYCATACGTTACATACAAGGTCTAAAAAACAGCTCAACAGCACGTGTCAAGTCAACTGATATTGGTGTTGTTACCCCTTATAAGAAGCAGGTAGGGCCTCTATGCTTACCAAAATAATGCATCAGATAGCCCCTGACTCACCGGTCCCCGGGGAATACTAGAACAGTTCAACAATGTTTAACTAAATGGTATTTCCAGGCTCTTTGAGACAAAATATTCTCCTCCTTTGGTAATTATAATTTTTTATGTCAGGACCAACAACTGCTTAGCCTCCATGCAGCCGGTTTATATTACCCGTTTTACAAGTAACAGGCTGCACGGAGGGTAACGTCTGCCCTGTGATCCAGAAGTGTTTCTACGTAAAGTTTACAATTATTGTCGTATATTGGAAAGAATACAAAGCTTTACAAAAGACAAAAAGATCTATTTAAGTGTGAATAGGATTAAGTACAAAAGAAGCGCACATGTAAGACATTCCAAACTAAAATGGATTTTTCCAAATTACAAAATATTGAAATATTCTATAGTTTTTATCCGAAAAATGCTTTTTTTTTCTGTGAGAAACGATCATAGGTACGATGGAAGGTTTTATCTTATGAACTGTTTTAAAACAGGTGGAGAAGATAAGAATGCTTTTAAAGAGTGTGTCAGTTGATGATATCAAGGTTGGATCCGTGGAAGAGTTCCAGGGACAGGAGAGACCTGTTATCATTATATCAACTGTAAGTCAAAATCACTGTTACAATCAAAAGACACGAAGCGCGCCCCCTAMAGACTTTTCAAGTCATTATTGGACTTTTCGTTTTCTTTTTCTTCAAACTTCAGTTGATTAATGCAAAATTAAATCCAAATCTCGAACTCTGATAATGACAGAAAACAACACAGCATTTCAAGCTTTTTGAGACCGTCATTCCTTTCTTACGAGAATGAATAGATCCAACCAAATTAACAGACAGCATTGCAATGCATGGACTTGTGGAAATTACAAAAGACCAGCATGTTTACAAGCGAAATACGAAGACGTTTTTATGAAAATCCGATCAATAATCCGATCAAAATTCAAATTTGATTTCAATAATGTAATGCTGAATCGACCAAGAATCGAATAATGAATTGAATAATGGTGTTTTGAGGGGGCGCACTTCATTTCTTTTGACTGCAATACAGAACAATATGATTAAGATACTGCTGCTCTTGCTGCTGCTGATGCTGTTGATGATGATGATGATAATTTTGATGCTTCTGGTGGTTTTRCTGTCGCTCCTGCAGTTGCTAATGATGATGGCGCTGCCGTTTCAGACGYTTGTACTGATGATTCTGCCAATACTTTTGCTACTGCTACTGATGATTCCACTGTTGCTGGTAATGATCATGATGCTGCTGCTATTGTTGTTGTTGTTRATAATGATCRTGATGAAGCACATCGTCTCAGTTAACTTTCTGTCCACAGGTTCGCTCTGACCAATCACACGTAGCTTCCGACGTCATTCACAGCATTGGTTTCCTTAGCAACCCGAAGCGCTTCAACGTATCAATAACTAGAGCCCAATGCCTTCTGATTGTTATTGGCAACCCACACGTTCTTTGYCAGGTATATTCTTCCACAGGGATACCAAAACATCAATTTACTTACCACAGGGACACCAAACCTAAGACGTAACGTGTACCACAGGGATTCCAGTTTGCTAGATTGAATGTTTCTTTACGATATCATAATTCTTCTCTCAGGACCCGTACTGGTGCAGTCTTTTGAATTACTGTGTTATGAATGATGTCTATACTGGATGTGATTTGCCAGATCTGAATGACGGTCTTTACCAGGTAATAATTCCCACTTGATTACAACGTCGATACTTCGTAAAGACGATATMTATCAGTGAAATCAGTCAGTCAACCAATCAATATAGTCTCCATCATGGTTCCCTGCCACATCTTGAAATGTAATCTAAGCGAAGCGATCATTGAGCGTGCATCAGAAGTACATAACTTCTGGCGTGCATAGGTAGAAACATTCTTTCACAAATAATGGTATGCTTAAAGGTCGTTTTGCTTCGATGTAAAGGCACGACTACCTTTCAGATAAAAGACAATCAATCCATCAATCATTTCATCAATCAATCCATAATTCCATCCATCCATCAATCAATCAACGGAACAAATCAGTTAGTCAATCTTTCGATCTATGGATTTGTCAATCTCTCCAGTCATCCAATCAAGCTATCTCACTTTGTCAGCCATCATAAAAAACATCAACCATGTTTCTTTTGCACTATCATAGCTTATCACGGATTATTATAAGTTTATTTCTATTTCTTACCAGGAGGAGTTCCATTTCGCAATGGATGTTTTGAGTCGAATAGTCCAGAACAAGGAAACTGMTAAAGTTYCCAATCAAGAAAACCTTAAARAAGATCAGCTACAGTCTGCTGGTGAAATCCATGGTTCTACCACCATCAGTAGCGACTTCAACAACCTCACTCACAACTTGGGHAATCAGAAACTCCATCAAAATGATTTGTGTGGAAATGATGTGRACAATGAAACCAATGGAARCATTGTGAATTCAACGACATTAAGTTCAAATGACACAAAAGAATCTTTGGATTTTAAGACAAAGAAATTGTTTGACAATTCTTCARACGKTGATTCGAAAAGCTTAGAAGAGAAGCCTGTATCTAAAGTAGTTGATGAAAATCAGTGCAATGAAGAAGTTAGTGGAGTATTATCAGATAACGTTAGTCATGAAGCCCTGGCAGTTTTAGATTCAGTCGCCCCATCTCAGAATACCATAACTTGTGAGCCAGAGATCGTTCCAGATTTAACTGTCCAGCAGTGCTCAACATCCTTAACCTTTGGTTACAATGAAAATGAGTATTGCCATGGAAACTGTGACGTCAGCGTAAYCAAAGAAACTATGACGTCAAAGCAAAGTGCTGAATCTCAGGATTCTTCTGGGTCCCTCAAGAAATGTTACCATGAAAACTATGACGTCACAGCAAACAGAGAAACCATGACGTCAAGACGAAGTGCAGATGGACTAAAAATGCTCTTGGGTATTGAGCATAGGGATGGAAACGATCAAGGTTCTCAAATTGAGGTGTCAAGTTTCGATAAAGCTTCAAACATGTCTGGTTTTGAACAAAGCGAACAAGGGAGCGATAGTAATATATCGTCAGAATGTAGCTCTGAACATCTCAAAAAGTTATTAGGTATTTSTTCGCCTCAGGATAACAAATTTGAAAGYGGTGGTAAMKMAAAAGMAAATAAAAAACAAAAGTATCGGAAATCTTCCAAAGGAAGTGAAAACAAGCATGAAAGAGAACCAAGGATTCGACGCTCTTCGGATAAAACCAGAAACAATTCAGAAGACACTCATTTCAATAGGCCATCAAGAAATAAAAGAAATCGCTCAAAAAGCGAACCCATGAATTTACACGAAAGAAGTCATAGCACGAAKTCAAAAGATTCAATTCATGTAGGCCGTAGTGCAGAAAACTCGGCTTGTACTCGTGTGGTTTGTGACAAAAAGACTACCACTTYTGGGTTGCCTTTGGATGGTAGCTACGAGAAGGGTGATGATGACGASGATGATCTTGAGGAGTTTTTCTTCAGACCGTTTACTAGTCGTTAAATTTATACCAAGAAATGGGTCGCGTTTATTTTGAACAATTAATTGTATACAGAGTGGTTTCCCCAAGCCCGTGAAACGAAGAGTACCTGATTTAAGTCGTTTACAATCGACGCAAAGCCGTGTAAATAGTACAAAATAGTCTAAACTATATTTCACGGGTTTGTGGAAGCCACTAACCAAAGAAATGAGATTTATAAATGTGGTATATTTTTGTATTTATTTGTTGGTTGATAAATAAAGACATGTTAGGAGTCTGAGTAGATTTTAAAAACGCAAAACTTCAACTCAGCGATTTTCACGTAGTTTTTTGGACATCTGAATATTGATATTTTCTAAGACTTTTGATTGAATGTCATGAATAACCACATGTAGCTACTAATTTCTCGGAGCAATTATTCTTTATTTGTACCAGTTTTCGTAATCTATTGGAAATTCAATAAAGTTATTCATTTTTTTTCTTTGCTCGCGTCTTATTTACCGGGAAAAGTTATATTATTATCGCGGAAAAATTAGACGATTTCTCCCTTTACATTTGTGCGTATTTATTTTATGTAAACCATGAGCAATTATTCTTTATTTTTTACTAGTTTTGCCTATTGCTTATTCTATTGGAAATTCAAAGTTATTCATTTTTTTCGCTCGTCTTACCGGGAAAAATTACATTAGTCATTAGCGTGAAGAAAAATAAGATTTTTTCTTCCTTTACATTTGTGCGTCTTAATTTAATTTAAAGCATAAACCTGTGCGTTATTACATCTATATGCATAAATGATCGATATGAAACTGCGAAAGGGCAATAAGGTGTAGTTACGGGCCCGCAATACAGACCGCTAACCAGATGACGTCATGTCGAGTGCCACATCAAAAGTTATGTTTGTAAATGAAGAAACGTGAGGTGTAAAAACTTCATCAAATACTTTATTTTACAGGCTCTTAGCCTTGAAATACTTCTTGAATGTCTTCCACTACTTGTTACCAAGACAGGGATGCTATTCGAGTTAAAGCTTTGGTAAGGAAAGACTGACGTTTGATTGATCTTTGCAAGGTCACTCCAAACTGAGTTGTTCATTTGCTCCGAGGTTTCTAGCTCTTTCTTTTTCTTTGCAGCTGGAAAGTGTTCAAGGAAGGGAGATTAGATGCTTTGCTGTAGATCCTAATATCACATCTTTTGCGAATCTCAACCAGCTATTAGCCAGGGCCTTCCAGTTATCTGGGTGAGTGATTTGAACATCAAATAAAGATGTACTGTAAGATTTGTTAAGCTAAATTATTCACGCCAATTGTTGAATATGAAACTAAAACACACGCATTCTTTTACTATTTTAGGGGATTTTTTGTTGTGCTTGGATAAAAATTGTTTTTGACCCAAAGATTTATTTCGAGTCTCCTTTTTGTCGAGAAATCATGTCATTTCTATATTTTTTTTGGTAATTTATTCCATTCGCCAACGTTTCCATCTGGTCAGCATGTCGTAATATTTTGTCTGTTAAATAGATAAATTTTAAGGGTTTCCTCTTAAAATAGGTTTCGATTACAAAAGATAGCTTTTTATTGACTATGTTCTCTCATAAGTTGTTTTCATTAGCAATGCCCATGACCAAATAAATATGAAATTTTATTTTGTAAACATTTAAAACTTAAGAAAAATGATAAATATATCTTCACGAATTATTGTAATTTACTGAAACTAWTCTTTCTAACTGCACTTTAGCCATTGTCTCCTTGGTAACTATCCGCACATTGAAACAGCTGAAATATGTGAATTCATCAAAGTCGTTTCAGCTTTTGTTAGATGATAGATTTTTTTAACTTCAGAATTCATATTAACTGTTTAAGGAGAAAATTTCATTTTGATGTTAAAATTGAATTTTGTAATATAATCCTTTGTTTTATAAAATGACTACAGATATGKTATGAAGCCTGATTGGTCAAKGAGCATGCATTAAAACAGACACAGACTTTTCTTTCTTTGATTCATCAACAAAAGAATAAAAATCCTGTCTGCTGCTGTTGTTGTTTTTTCTATCTTATTGAAAAAAGGTTGACATAMACGTACAAGATTAGTCTCCTTTCATGTGTTTCTAAAACTTCTTGTGATTTACCTTCACTGTAACCCAAACAGCTGTTTTTAAGTGATGAAATTATATCCATGRAACAAAATCTGCTTTTTAAACTCACAATCAATGACAATTAATGTAGTTTTAAAAGAAGAATTCCCTTCCTTTCAGTTTTACCCTTTACCTAGACTGTTGGGTTCTGGCATCCACCATGCCATTACATAATATTTTATACCATGTATTTTTGTAATAATTATTATTTGTATTATGTTATATTTTGTAGTGAATTTGAGATATCCTATCAAYTGCCGCAGTCAAATGAAACTGGACGAAGACCAGATGTTTTTGTATCWTTAACATCGGATTTTGATTTGGATGCTGCTTTCCTTAGTGCTTCTCTACCTTACCTATCATTAAAGGTTGATCCTCTACTTAGCCCAGGTAATGTAACTCACTTTACATCATTTGTTGCTCATTTTCCTACCGTATACTTATTGCTTATTTGACCAGACAAATTTTCTGTATTTATATTTCTTTCCCCAGCAATAATTATTTCTACGTRTATTGTCTGTCAGTGTAATGGAACAAAATAATTCAACCACATCTTTGGTCCAATTTGGACAGCTATTGCTAGCTCCTGAAACGCCTTGAAATTACTTCCTGATCAATGCATCCTACCTTTCATAATCCCTTCTTTCCAAATTTCCTGTTGTTATCTGATCTGACCAGCATTAGTCCAGGGTGAAATAATATGAATTGTAGATTCTCACATGGACCAAGCTCTTCTCAAATCAGTTGACAATGAGAAGACCCAAACCATTGGATTATGTATATTTTTCATTGAATTAGATTTGAATATTAAACCAGAGCTAACTTTATTTTTTTCTACTGTTTTTAGATAGTGAAAATGCAGACTGGTCTATCCTTGATATATCAGAGGCCCCWCCTCCCAATAATGTCCTCTCTTCAAGAATCACACCGACAGTTCCYTTCCATATATCTCTCAAACATCAAATGGAAAAAACACTTCAACAAATTTCAAAAGCCTTCTCCACAGCACCTCGCAAAGGCCCYCTAAAAGAACATGATTGGTTCCAATACCTTGATTGCGAGGGACGTTTGATTTACCCCGAAGAATTTGTAACCACTGTTTTCCATTGTGGAATAGAACAGTCATTAAGAAAAGAGGTCTGGCCTCATCTTCTTCACGTTTTCCCTCCAGATTTAACCAGTGATGAGAAAGAGAGATATATACTCATGAAATCCAGGGTGTTTTGGCATCTGAAGAGCGAATGGCAAGCTCAGGACTCTAAAAGCACTGAATCGCTGTCCCATATGATACGCAAAGATGTTGTACGGACAGACAAAGCATGTTCCTACTTTGAAGTAGGCGAGGACCATCCTCATATTGAATCATTGTTTAATATTTTAATGACATATGCTGTAGCCAATCCAGATGTGTCTTACGTACAGGGAATGAGCGACCTTGCATCACCATTGCTTGTTGTTCTTGATGACGAAGCACTTGCCTATACTTGTTTTTGTTCATTAATGTACAGGATGAAATCKCACTTTTTGCTTGATAGTAAATCCATGAGTCTAAAGTTTGAGCATCTCTCGCTCCTGCTACAAAGAACAGACATTGAGTTTTATAAGTATCTTGTGGATATTGGGGCTGAGGATATGTTCTTTTGTTACCGATGGTTATTACTTGATCTTAAAAGAGAGTTTCAGTTTTCAGACAGTCTGAGTGTGATGGAAGTTATATGGAGTACTACCTCATTATCTTCTCAAAGTATCTCAAAAGAATCTTACAATTCAATCACCAAAACTACAAAGAAGGAAGGTCCATACTTTAAAACAAGGTCTGACAGTCCCTTGTGTGAAATTGCTTTGGAAACTGAAGATGAGGAAGATGACGACAGCGAAGAGTCATTTGCAATGCTCAGCAATGACAGCAACGCACTTGACACCTCAGAGACCAACTTAATCCAAATTCCAGACCCATGTGAACTAGGAGATGGCAATCCATTTGCATTGTTCGTGTGCCTTGCAATGCTCTTGCTGCATAAGGATCACTGCATTCAGAARCAAATGGACTACAATGCTCTTGCAATGTACTTTGACAAATTGCTACGCAAGCATGACAGGATAAAAACACTTGCAAAAGCCAGAGTTTTATACATGGAGTATCTGCAGCTCTTTAGCACAGCCGTAAAGCAAGATGAGTGCTCTGAAGTCAAGGAAGATGTGCCAAGCAATCTAAGCTGGCTTGATGACAAGCTGCTAGATATTAAATCAACACAATTGGGTCAATGTATTGAATGTTAATTATAGTAAATTATTTTGACTATAATTATATTAACTAATAATTTTTCTAGAATAGTTTATTGTTGTCATTAAAATGAGAAAAAAGAAAGAGTTCKCTATACTACCTTAACTTAAAGAGTTATACAAGAACAACCCATACTCATGAATGCAGTCCTGTGGAGACATAGACAACCAACTACTTAGAGGGTGGGCACCAAATTTTGACATATTATTTATATACAATTAACTGCCAATATTCTGTTGCTCAGCAAAACTAGTTTTGCTTTGCCTGTATGAAATACTGGTACTCTAATATGGAGAATGACTGTATATGCCAGAATTCTTATATAATGATTTAGAATTAATTGATCATATATTTTGATAGTTGATAAATCAAGAAAGTCATAACAATTCGGGATGACTGAGATGTACAATAATATGGTTGTTATTGAGTTGCAGTGAAAAGAAGAGGCAAATTTACAATATATATTTTGAATATTATGACAAGGAGATTTGAAATAGAAATGACAAAATAGCAATAACAAAAGTACAAGAAAATTATTKAATATTTTAATAATTATAATTATTAAAATCACCAAAATTGAAAAATGACTTTGAGTAAAAACATATATTTTCACTACATTGCTAAGATGCTGATGAAAGATTTGAAATATTTTCGGCTGTGGTCATTTACTCAACGCTATTGTTCATTTTCCAAATGTATTAAATCCAAATTGCTCCCCTGCAATGTCAACAAGCTATACATACAATCTATTTTTACATGTGACTATTTATTGTTAACACCTTTGTTTTGTAACATTATGAAATAAACTTTGGAATATTAAAGTTGTAGTCCAAAACTAGTCTATGTTAAGTAATTCAAGTGCTACTCTTTTTCATCCATTCCTTTTTTTCATTTATTTCTTTTTCATTCCATTTTCATAATTTCATTTAGTCAAGCATCAAGTTTTGACACAGCTTTTTTTCATATATTTTTTATCTTTTCTCCAATCCCATTTTTCCTTTATTTAATCCTTTCATCCACTTATTYATCCCTTTATTTGATAAAGAATATTCATAATCCAATACTAACACTAGMTGTTCTCATTTTGATTCCATTCCAAATTTTATTTTTGCAACATTCTTGAATTTTTCCTCAGTATTTTTTTAGGTTATTGCTTAGGAATCAGAAACTACAACAAAAAAATTACTATTTTTTTCGATTTTTCTGTCATATAACATGTTTCTTCATAGCCTTTCATTTTATTTTCGAAAGTTAATTTTTTTTTTCGTACCACTCTTTCTTGTCCCGCTGTCGCAAAAGATAGCAAATTGCCTTATATGGGCATTGTTCAGGGGCAGGCCTACAGCCCAGAATACACCGCGGCACGAGKGCCGATCAGCAGCCATCTTGGATTTGTTTCCTGGTGCCTTTTGACTTCGTTCAGAATCTGTGGAGAAAATATCATGGCTGATTACGACGAACCCATCTCTGACGAAGAAAAGGTAAAGAATGAACCTTGTTCTTCACATTTTATGAAGTAATAACGAAGAAKATTGCTTTGATTATTGTGAATTTTTCTCCAAACATCCAGGTACGGATAGCTGCCAATTTCATAAAACACGCCCCACCAGGAGAATTCAACGAAGTGTTCAACGGTTAGTGCAGCTCTTGCTTGTTATATGGTTATTGTACTTTGCTGTGCCTTTTCTCAAAATAATATATTGTCTTCTTGTTCAAATAGATGCTCGTATGCTKCTCAACAACGACACCTTGTTGCGAGGGGAAATGGGCGCAAGGTGAGGTAGAATTTGGAGAAATTTTTCTGACCTGTTGAATACCTACACATCACAAATCTCGTTCTAGCATGATTAAGGTCTCTCCGCATTGTTTAGTACGTTTTATTTCGTGATAGGTATATTTCACTGTCGATATTGGACTTCTTTATTTGATTGTATAAGCACTCAGTGACCAAAATATTTTGAACAKCTCCAGTCATTTCCTCTTCCATATATCTGTCAAGACGTGTTTGAATAACTTTTTATCATACATTTAAATGTAATCAAAGTGAAGTAATTGTAATCGCCTCAATTCCTGATCCCTTGACAAATCCATTTTGAATGATAAGTTTATACATTATGTGGATTGTTTATTTTCTTGTTTATTAATCGATCTATTTAATTTTTTTGCTTATGAACATTTACAAATGTTTTTGACAGTGCAGTATACTTAGAAGTAATGGTTACACTTTCATTTTGTAATACAGCTCTGTCATTTTTGGTTTTACTTACTTCAAAACGTTGTATTTTCAACATTACCCTGCATCTCTATATTTCTCATAAATTTCTCTCATTTCTCAACCATCCTTATCATTATTATTACATTCCTATCTAATTACTTTTCTGATGATGTCAGGCCATAGTAAAATAACCTGTTATGTTCATGGAAGCCGAAATGCTAGCCAATAGTATTTGTATTGACGCAAACACAATCATTCGAGTTAAATCATAATTTATGCTGAACTCAATATACAATAATAGACATCTGAGTTGTCTATTGTGGCATGGGTATATATAGATGTTTTAGTCTGTGGAGAGCTTTTGCCATGTGGACCACCTACACTCAGGCACAAAATCCTTAGCACAATGGCTTTTACCAAGCAGTCAGTTAATGAACAGCAAACTATTGTACAAAAAGTGCTTTGATTGTAACATACCCTCCCCCCCCTGGTACGTTGTTGTTCAGGTGATACTCTCAGACCATCATGTTATTCCACATCGCCAGTAGTTACTGTGAAGTAAAKAGGAGGGTTGAGAAGCCCATATGTTACAAATCTTACATTGATGCTCTTTGACAGAATAATATATAAACTGGTCCAAAGATGCACTAATGTACTCTAATTTCATTCCTTTTTCTTTATTTTCAGTGCTTTTTCTGATTATAATAAAGAGCAGTTTACTCCTGCGCGTCTTGGTCCTGATGATCAGGTAAATARGCCTACTCAAACATTATTTTATAAGGATATGGCAAAAAAAGATTTCAAATGTTTTGGACTTTTAAGATAGTGTAGCAGTCATTTTGCTAACTTATAATTCACAGTTTGCAATCGAGTTAACACATTTTATCTGTGAAACAAGTTACTTACTGATTACTGCAAAATAGACTGTTGACTAAATGATAGAAAACAAAGGAATTAGCATGATTTAGTGCTATTTTGATCTATTTAAGTTTTATGGATTAAATGCACTAGATATCACATTATGTTAAATAAGAAGAAAACCAAGAAAAAGAAGCCAGAATACCAAGTTTCAAGTTTCAAGTTTAATTCAATAAATAATAATAATTTACACATGAGTAGTTAGTGGGCATCACAATTAGTTAAGACTATTCAGGGCGATGCCCGCTATAAATACTAATTTAGATTACAAAATGTAAAAGTTTATAATAATAATAATATGACAATAATAATAACAAGACAATGAAGAAAAAAAGAAAATTTTAATCAGGTTTATGTGAGAAAAAATGTTCTGAAAAAAGAGAAAAGGAAAAAAGAATGATTGAGAAAAAACAAAAACATACTGACAAGAAGAATGTTACCAGCAATAGGCAGCAAACTATGTGTTTTCATTGACCAATTTTGTTGGTTTTGATTTGCAGGTTTTAATCACAAGACATGGTGAACTACCTGATGGAAAGTTTATTGACCCAAAGACTAAACAAATGTTTAGCTATGACCATTTAAGAAAGGTACAAATCAATGGCATTGTTTACCAGTCCAGAATATTCATTTAGCCAATCGTGTACTTCAATTAATTGTGCAAATAAAATGTTTTGGTAATTTTCTTTAACCCATGAGAATAATACATGTATAATGGAAAAATACAAAAAAAAACTTAACTAATTAAGTAAAATGCGCTATAAAGTGTATTTCACAAGTTAATGAAAACAGTTCTATGAAAACAACTATATGTCCACAAAACAAATAATAGCCGTGCATTGATTGGATGAAATATATAAAATATATAATATAAAATAGGAGCATAGAAAACATGTATTTAACACAGAGAGAGTCACAAGAGTTGTTATCTTATAAAAGCATTAGAACAGGTATTTTCAATATTTCCTTCCTTCTTAGAAATACTTGGAATTTTGTGAAAACATTTTAAAACGTTATTATTTACTGTTTTATTATATATTTTATATGTAATCACTCAAAAATATCTTCCAAGCTTAAATATCCTTTGTGTTTTTTTTAGGAAGCAAAGGATTTAGAGCCATTAGATGTTGACACCACTGCTGAGCCATACAGAGCTTCTATTGAAGAATCCTTTAGAGCTTATGTGAAGAGCCACTACCCTCATGGGATTGGTACGGTATATGGGAAGAGCAATGGTGGAACAATCACTATCACAGCTTGCATAGAAGACCATCTTTTTCAACCACATAACTTCTGGTATGAGTTATACACAGTAATATTGAGGCTAAGCTTAGTAAGGAAACTTAAAACTGGAGTATTTAGCTGAATGGGATGTCAACATGAAACCATCATGATAGCAAAGACAGAGTGAAAACAAAACAGACTTTATAACAAAAGGCACAATGTATAATCATAACAGAAACCTATAAGGGACTTGAAGCATGTAGCGCCCGTACATTTCTTTAGTAACAAGTGTCGAATTATTCAAAGCTCATTAAAAATTTGAAAATGAACGCTATGACCATATTTGGAAAATTCGGCCGTTGGATAAGAGATTGAAGGCCCATTCTGGTTGGCTATAGGGTAAATTGRATTGTTCCAAATAAGAAAATGAGATGCAAATTAGATTTGAATATATCCCTTCGGATGGCACAGTGCTACACGTTTCAAGTTCCTTATAGGTTTCTGATAATAATTAATACTACTATCAACTTTATTGATCTCTCCATTTCCGGTTTTTCAGACATCATTACACACTAAATTCAAATTATACTTAGATATTAAAATTATCAAAATTATAGATTATACTACATTGTAATAAAATAGACTTTCTAATAATGAAAGTTTTTAAAATTATTCAAAAAATTTGTCCAGAACAAGGCACTTAATTTCTGCTTTGAATTTTGTTAAAGAGGTGACTTCAGTTGAATTTGTTTTGCAAAAGGGAAATTGCTTTGAACGAAAGGACCTTTGAGTAGTCACTGTCCTGCAAACTGGTACACTAAGTTTGTCGTTGTTTCTGTAATTTCTGTTATAGAGTCTTAGATAATATTGATATTTGTGGCGTAGAAGCACAATAGTACAATTAGTCAACAGGAACAWAGGATACTGACTAAGAACACAATATRWTTWATACACAGGAATGGACGGTGGCGTTCAGAGTGGACTGTCTCTTTCAAAAAAGGAGGTGGCGAAACCACACAAATGCATGGTGTCCTAAAACTACAGGTAGGTACAACATACTAGATAAGGTRAATATGAAATAACAGGGTCCTGGAAAACCTGGTAAGTCGTGGAATTTTTTTGTTTGTCAAGTGGAAGATCACAGAATTTTATCAAGGGTCATAGAAAGTCATTGAAAATATTCTTCAGTTTGTCATATTACAATTATGGCTACTATTTCCTGCATGACTTTACAGAAAAATTAATGCATGAACTTTCCTTAGGAGAATGAGATGGTGGAATCTCACCATATTTGTCTTAAGTAAACTTATCATGGCATCGTTTATAGGTTCATTATTATGAAGATGGCAATGTGCAGTTAGTTTCCTCAAAGGAATTAGAAGAGGACATCAAAATCACTGTAAGTGTAGCGGCAGACTAGGTTTTTACTTTACTGATCTCGATGATAACGTAAAACTACAATGAATTACAAACAAATTATAAATTCAAACAAAGACAGAAATACTAAAAATACAGATCGGAGATCACAAAAATACATACCATTTTACATGTCCTACAGTAGTCTACAACTTGACGACGACTGACGAAATTTGCATAACTTACTCATGTTATACTAAAAGATTAAAGGACACACACGGACAGTTTACGTAACGAAAAAATAACATTGATACTACATTTTCAGTAAGTAAGAATAATAATAATAATAAAAAGGTATTAATTATATTGAGCAGGCTCCATATGAAGATGCTGGCATGTGCATTACAATATGTCAAAACTAAGAAGAATTTGAATACAAATTATAAGCTAATAATAACCATGAAATAAAGTTTATGTAGTAATTATAGGAACTAGTGATATGGTGCATATTTATTTTCTTATATTTTTATTTTCAAATGAACGCAAAAGCTCATAATGGCAKTTGACCAAAGCCCTTTAAACAAAACCATTAAAAAACTGTCAAGACTTACTAAGATTACACTAGGCCCTTTGTAGCTCACATGACCACACCTACCTTAAATCAATCAGCAACGACAAAATAATGTTCAGAAATGGAAAGAGGGAATCAAAATAAGTAAGAAGACACAGTTTCAAGTCTCAACACTAAATATTTCAAAATTGATAGCAAATATAAGGTATATAAGATCTTTTTTTTTTCTAAAGAAATATATGCAAAAACAGAATTGGAGAGAAAGGCTTGCTCTCCAGTTCTATTTTCCCATACGTTTTTGAAGTATTTAGAGTTGAAACTTGAGACTTTTTAGCAACATACCTGCTCTTTCCATTTCTGAACATCATTTTTTGATAGCTGATTGATTTAAGGTAGGTGTGGTCACATGACCCCCAGCTGCAAAGGGCCTTTTGATTGCTTCTACTCTAAAAAAAGACCCAGATAATTATTTTTCCAAATTTTCGAAATTGAATGCTTATTAAAAATATTTCTTTTTCTGATTGCAACAGGGAGAAAGTGGAACAGCAAGTCGTTTTGTTGAAATTGTCGAAAGTGCCGAAAGTGATTATCAAGTAAGTATGTACANAAGTCTTAAGGAATCGTATAAAGTCTATATCGTCTTGTTGGAGTTTTTTGGAACCACTCGCTCGACCTTCGAAACGGATTTCCGTACCACCACTTTCACAGAACTGGCGCCAGATTCTTTTAACTGAATCATACTTGACACGATTCGCGAGAGCAATGTCTTTGAAACTCCCCTCGAAGAATCCAGTAATAATATCTCCGCCACTTTCTATGATGTCTTCAATAATTTTTTGCCTAAGATCAAGTCCAATAGCTTTTCCCCGATGATAAACTCGTCCGCCTTTCGAAATTTGCGCCATCTTGATTTTCAACTGACATAACGGAATTTGAGGAATTTAAATGTGAAAGTAGGCGTGGTCGTAACACAAAAATTCGGGCCCATTCCCCAGTTCGGTGATTTTAGTAGTATTTTGATCTATTTAAGTTTTATGGATTAAATGCACTAGATATCACATTATGTTAAATAAGAAGAAAACCAAGTAAAAGAAGCCAGAATACCAGCAATAGCAGGGACCGCGGAGCGGGATCTTGTTTGGGGGGGGGCTAGCGGCGAGGAGGTACCAGGGGGGTCGGAAATTTCTGAAATCTTAACTATCGGAAATGCCATTTCCAGCGTTTTGAGGCGTTATCCAAGACATATTTACCGCAGACACGGTCAGTAATATTATCAATAAAATCCCAAAGAATTCATAAGGAGGCTCTTCGCCTCTTTATTTAAGAAAATTCCGCGGTCCCTGAATAGGCAGCAAACTATGTGTTTTCATTGACCAATTTTGTTGGTATTAATTTGCAGGTTTTAATCACAAGACATGGTGAACTACCTGATGGAAAGTTTATTGACCCAAAGACTAAACAAATGTTTAGCTATGACCATCTAAGAAAGGTACAAATCAATGGCATTGTTTACCAGTCCAGAATATTGATTTAGCCAATCGTGTACTTCAATTTGTGCAAATAAAATGTTTTGGTAATTTTCTTTAACCCATGAGAATAATACATGTATAATGGAAAAATACAAAAAAAAACTTAAAAATAATTAAGTAAAATGCGCTAAAGTGTATTTCACAAGTTAATGAAAACAGTTCTATGAAAACAACTATATGTCCACAAAACAAATAATAGCYGTGCATTGATTGGATGAAATATATAAAATATATAATATAAAATAGGAGCACAGAAAACATGTATTTAACACACAGAGAGTCACAAGTTAGAGTTGTTGTTATCTTATAAAAGCATTAGAACAGRTATTTTCAATATTTCCTTCCTTCTTAGAAATACTCGGAATTTTGTGAAAACATTTTAAAACGTTTTTATTTACTGTTTTATTATATATTTTATATGTAATCACTCA